CTCTTGCCTTTTTTCAAACAGGATTTCTTCATGATCTCTCCGGTGAAGTCATTTTATTTTTATAGCTTTGTGTGTGGTAATTTGCACCTATATACTTTCTGAGCTCATTTTCCCCCCGAGAGTAGAGCTGGGAACTACACAAATATGTGTGTTCATACAGTTCTCATGGCTGTGTCCCGTATCTTGACTCACACCAATTATCTAGTTACCTAGTGTTTTGTGAAACACATTACGAAAGGTAATCTTTTTCTGGTTTAGAAACTTGCAAGGCTTTGTCTCTGAACAATCTCTGTGGTTATTAAAAGACCTTATCAAGCCCCCATAGAAAATTTAAAATTTGAACACAGCTCTGTCTTTATCCTCGAGAGGATGTGAGTCGGAATGATGTAACTGCAAATGCCTTAAAGTAGATGCAAGAGCTGACGGAGTCACTGTGCGCACGTTGGGATACGGCAACGGTGATGCTGCCTCACTGACAGTGAGCCTTTCTGCCTCTTCTCCTTGACCTCAGTGATAATTATTCATCAGGGTATGATAGATTTCAGATCTGCTTCCTGTTAGAGATAATGAAATAATACTGTCTTCTTTATAAAAAAAAAAAAAAAAAGGAGATACGCCTTCCCATTTTCTGTTTCATGTACTAAATGTCACATACGAGGTGTGTCTGACAGCTGTTCAGGGGACTTGGAACATACTGAAAATAAGGAGATCTCAATGGTAGCAATATTTTAATATTTTGGAACATTTGGGTTTGGATTTTGTCCTGTTTGTCACTTAGTGAACATACCCGGTGCTTAGTCTCAATGTCCTCTGGATGCAAAGATAAATGATGTGATCCTATGTTTCAGCAAGCCTTCCAGAGTCCCACATTCTAACACCTGATGGTAACACAGTCAGACATGCTCGGGACCAAAAGTGTTTCAGAGTTGGTTCTTCTTGTTGTTGTTGTTGTTCGTTTGGGTTGGTTTTCTTCCCAGGTTTGGAACTTTATCTGTATAATAAGATTCTTCAGAAATGAGACCAAAATCTAAATATGGAATTCATTTCTTCCATATACCCCTCACTTACGAGTCTGAAAATAATTCTGTGTTATAATTGTCTGCATCTTGTACCTACGCTTTGACTGCCACCTGTTACCTGAGGTCATGTAAGGATTTCCTTCCCGCTTGTGGCATTTTGTTGGTGCTCAAACACATGCAGATTGCGTGTCCTTTCAGATCTTTCCATGGTACGTGTTCAATCTGTGTGGTACATGAAAACATATAAGAGTTAGCTGAACTCTGAGCAGAAAGGGAAAAGAAGTAGTAACTTTGAGTTTGGCTTTGTCGTATGAGTCAGGTGTCACTAGAGGAGGGACTGAGGAAGGTGAGGGGCTGTAGCTATAAACATACCATGCAAGCACCTTTCATGCACTTGGCCCTCTGTGTGTGGAAGAGGCTGTTGGTGGGCTAATTTAGCACTCAGTCCCACCCATCCCTCTGCCTTGCCATATCCACCATGGAGGCTAGAAAAACTGAATGCATAATTTGTGTCAGCCCTAAAACATAGGCTGGCCAACTGGCTTTGTTTGGAAATAATGTTGGAATGTGTAGAAACAGTTGTTTTCCAGATGAGAAGCAGATAGATTTGCTGTTGACTCCTTGTTCTTGCCTTCAGAATAGCCATTTCAGTTGTTCCCAGGACAAACACTCTGAGACATTAGGAAATGAATTGTGGAGTTGAATGTGAAAATGTGGTTGAGTTCCTGGTCACTACCTACCTCAAGCCTACTTATGTAAGGAAAACAAAACCTTCTCCTAAGTCATTGTTAGAATTTCCTATTGCCACTAGAAGCACCCCCATCTGATGCAGGCATAAACTACATGCAAATCGGGCATGTGCTCACGTCATGCCTTACTGTTAAGTCTTGGTAGTTCTTGAGATGTTGCATAATAATCAGACCTGCCTTGATTATTGTATTCCTTATGATAATCTTTATTCAGTAACCCTTCACTGTTGTACTTGTTTTGAAATACCATAAGTTTAATAAATGTGTGTGTTCTCATGGCTCCATTAGCCAGCCATTCCTCTATCTCCCTCCCTCTCCATGGGCCTTATTCTCTGAGCTGCAATATTGGAAGTCGATTCATTCTGCTGTCACATCCAAATACTTAAGCAAAAGGAAGGGCTGGGTGTCTCTCATTTTAAATCAAAAGCTGGAGACTATTAAACTAAGCAAGGGAAGTATTATCTAAAGCCAAGAAAGACTGAAAGTTGGTCTTTTTCACCAAATAGCCAAGTTGTGACTATCATTCTTAAAGGAAGTTAAAGTCCAGTTCCAATGAACACATGAATGATACAAAAGCAAAACAATATCCTGACAGTGATGTGGAGAAGGTCTTTGTGGTTTGTTAGGAGATCAAACCTGCTAAAGCATCCCTCTGAGCCAAAGCCTAATTCAAAGCAAGCTCTTGGCATGGGTGGGTCCGTGACATAGAATTCTCACTCTCAAAACAAAGCTCTTAACCTCTTCAATTCTGTGAGGGCAGATAGGGGTGAGAGGAGTTCAAAGCCAACACATTGACTCAAGTGCTTTAAATGAAGGGGCCATCTCCATACATGGAAGTTCCAAGTCACCCAGCAAATGCTGTTGCAGGAACTGCAGCAAGGTATCCAGAAGGTCTAGCAGAAATAGTTGATGAAGACTTCTGTATCCGCAAACAGCGTTTCAGTGAGGATCAAGCGAGCTTCTAATCAGAAAAAGAAGTCACCCAAAACATTCATAGCTAGAGCGTAGAAATCAATGCCTGACTTCTAAAGGACAAATTGGGACAATTCAGCTGGTAGCTAAGGTAGACCAGTACTCATTTGCCGTTCTGGAAGTCTTTGGGCCTTTGAGGGCTATACTACAGTGCATCTCCTCTGCCTATGTTCTGTATATGGGACAGCAAAGCCTGGGTGACATATCTGTTTATAACATGGCGTGCTGGACATTTGATACCCACTACTGAGGCATACAGCTTAGGGGAAAAAAATAATTTAAAATATTATTACTCATTGACAGTGCACCTGGTCAGCCAATGATTTTAACAGATTTATACACATAAGAAGATTAATGTTTTCATGCCTGCCAGCACGACATTCACTCTGCAGCCCACAAATCAAGGAGCAAGCACAGCTTTTAAGACTTATTACTCAAGAAATACTTTCTGTGAAGGACGTGGGTGTAGTAGTGGTTCTCTGACGGATCTGGGTAAATTGAAAGCCTTTCAGAAACAATTCAGCATCCTAGATGCCTAGATCCAATTCATTGGATGAGGGAAAAATAACAGCACATTAAAGGACCATGGAAAAGGGTGGTTCCAGCCCTCAGAGATTCCTCTCAGGGATTCAAGACTTCCGGGATGAGAGTAACTGCATATGTGGTGGGCACAGCAAAAGAACTAGAGACTGCAAATAAATTTCTGTAGTCATATGATAAAACGTTAATGGATGAGAAAAAAAAAACACAAGCAAACAAAGCAAAACTGCTTTCTTGCGGTGGGATCTATTGCCAAGGAGGATGCTAGGAAAATTGTTGAAATAATAGCATAAGATTTAGAATGTTCCAGAAACTTGTTTGGGAAGACAGTGGCAAGGTTTGAGATAATTGAGTCCAACTTTGAAAGAGTTCTACTGTGATAAAAGACTGTCAAACAGCATTGCACGCTGCCGAGAAAACAGTGCATGAGATGAATAGACCACGTGGCAGATTTCATTGTCTTATTTTAATTGGCACGCCTCCTCACGTGTCAGGAGCTATCAGCATCAAGGCCAGATGCTTCCCTGGCAAAAACATATTGATCTTGAAGGCGAGGGTGACCATTAACATCTTGTTAACAATAAAATATTTTGAATTAAAATACTTGCCTTGTTTTTTCATACATGAAGGTATTGCATACTATATAGTATATATAATGTAGTATAGGCATAAGATATATTTACTGAAAAAAACAAAAAGTTCTTGTGACTTGCTTCATTAGGCTTTTGACTGTGTTATTATGTTAGTTAGGGTTTCTATTGCTGTGAAGAGACACCATGACGACAACAACTCTTATAAAGGAAATACATTTAATTGGGCTGGCTTACATCTTCAGAGGTTTAGTCCGTTATCATCATGATGCAACATGGCGGTATGCAGGCAGACATGGTGCTGGAGGAGTAGCCAAGTGTCCCACATGGTGACTTGCAGGCAACAGGAAGTAGTTTGTCTCTCTGGGCAGGGCTTGAGCATATATGAGTCCTCAAGACTCACCTCCACAGTGACATACTTCCTCCAACAAGACCCTAAATACTCCAAGAGGCCATACCTCCTAATAGTGCCACTCCCTTTGGGGGCCATTTTCTTTCAAAACACGACAATTGTGGTGTTACAGAATCAAACTCACAACATCCCTGAGGTATGAATCAATTCACTATATTAGCTTTTATGTGAAAGACAGCACCCAGTGCACTAGAGTCCTGTGATGATCTCACCTTCCAGCACACAAATCGAAAGCCATGTGGAAAACACTCAAACCGGGTTTTCTTAGAGATTCAGCTTATTGTTCCCACCTCATCATGTTCGGTTCTGCTGTGTGTGTTTCCTGACACTGCATCAAAGTGAAATTTAATCTCTTTTTAAACAGGTCAGGATCGTTTCTCCCCAATCTGTTTCCAGTAGCCACCTACTCCTTTTTAGCCAACTTTATAGTGCCCCTCCTTTGGGGAGTGGGGGGGGGTCTAGGTTTGTTTTTTTTTTTTTATGAATCAGATCCTTACTTTAGAAAGAGTTAAGGTAATCCAGCTTCTAGGAATGTCATTCTCAGCCAAAAACAACTGGATTAAAGTCAAGGGTCCTTAAGAAAGAAAACAACAGGATAGTTGGGATTTATGCCCAAATCCTTGGGTTACCTTTGTCTCTGATTTTAACATATTTCACATTTTGTTCTTAACCAAAAATGTAGTTTTCCCCTTCAAATTTGTAACACTTTTTCCCCCAGAATCTTCAGCTACTTGGAGCTACAGCCATCGAGGATAAATTACAAGACCAGGTGCCTGAAACTATAGAAACTCTCATGAAAGCTGACATCAAAATATGGATCCTGACTGGGGACAAGCAAGAAACTGCCATCAATATTGGTAATTCACCTTACTCCAATTTTAAATCCTGGTACCTTCTAACAACCCAACGTGTTTTAATAAGATGAATTAAAGATGTGTTTAAAAAAAAAAAACGTGAGGCTGGGGACACTGAGGACAAGGACTTTTGTCATGAGATAGTCTGAGCAGATTCAAGAAGAAGGACAGGGCTGTTGGAAAAATAACAAAGCCAGTCTTAGTGGACCCTGGACCCCTTGCAAGGAGCCCACCCCCTGACCTGGAGCAGGTACATAACATCATTGCCTTTTTCCCTAGAGAACGTCTGAACATTATGTGAATTCTTATATCAAATGTACTTAATTCTAACTGAAATGTGTGAAAGGGTAACTTCTAAGAAAGTCTCTTCCTATTCCAGAAAGGAGAGTATCTCAGACTGTTCCCAATGATGGTGTCTGGTTAGTTTTGTATCAACTTGACACTGTAGAGTTATCTGGAAAGAGGGGTATTGTGGAATATTTAACTATGGAAAGATGTGTTGTTCTTTTTACCTTGATTGGTTTAATAAAGAGCTGAATGGCCAATACTGAGGGAGGAAGGATAGGAGTGACTTCGGGCAGGGAGAGTAAGGAGGAAGAGGAATTTAGGCTCAAAGACAAGAAAGAAAAAGAGACACCAGGGAAACACAAGAGGCCAGACAGACAGACACATGGCAGGAAAGTAGGACATACTGACTGAAAGAAAGGTAAAAAGCCCTGAGACAAAATGCAGATAAATAGAGACAGGTTAAATTAGAGAGCTAGTGGGACAAGCCTAAACTAAGACCAAGCATTCATAGCTAATAAGAAGTCTCTATGTTTTCATTTGGGAGCTGGTTGGCAGCCCAAAGCAAAACTTCTAACTTTAGAGGAATGTTGGTTGAGAAAATGCCTCCATCAGCTTGCCTGTAGACAAGGCTGTAGGGCATTTTCTTGGTGGATGAATGATGTGGGAGAGCCCAGCCTGCTGGAGTTGCTGCCCTGGCCCGCGGTCCTAAATAATGTAAGAAAGCAGACTGAGCAAGCCATGGGGAACAAGCCCGTAAGCAGTGTTCCTCCACAACTTCTGCTTCAGTTCCTGCCTCAAATTCCTACCCTGACTTCCATAGAAGATGGGTTGTGACATAGAACTGAGAAGTGAAATAAACCCTTTTCTTCCCAAGTTGCTTTTGGTCAAGGCGTTTATCACAGCACTGGGAACTTAGCGCAGACTGGTGGTAAGGGAAGTAGAAGCTATTAACCAAGAAACCTAGTCCAAGGGCTGGAGTCTCCCTGTGCTTCTCACTCAACCGAGCCACCTTCTGGGGAGGGAACGCACTTCCCACTTCTGCTTTCTCATCTGCTGAAATAAACCCTAACACCTTGCTTGCTACACCTGTCCCCCAGTGTGAATTCTTCTGGAAGGCAAGAGCTGAGATCACTGGTGTAACTGGGGCCAGAGAGAACACGGGAGGAGGCCACCTCTCCTCATCCCTAACAAGATATTTTAAGACTTGATATTCCAAGGCTCTCGATGTGTAATGTTATTAGGCTCACCTATTTGTTTACTTGTGGCCCCAATGCCCTGCTTTAAAGTTGCGGTGGTTTTGTGTACCGCCAGACCAGCTCGTCCAACCACGCATGCACTCTCAGACGCTGCATCTGCTGGCGGAACGTTCAATCCATCAGTGGCCTATGAATATAACGTTTCTTTAGCTGTCTTTCAAAGTCTAGAAATTGGGCCAGTGGTGTGTTTATGTGCTAGATCTACTTGCTGTCGCTAGAAGTTGTTCCGAACATATGGCTGTCAGTTCCCTTTCATTCTACAGTCAGTTCCCAGTCTTTGGCAGTGTTGGTGTTAGTCCTCTCAAGCTGCTATGAGAGAGTGTCACAGACTAGGTGGCTTAGGCAACAGAAATGGATTTCTCACATTTTTGGGAAATAAGAAACTGGAATTTGAGGCAATATAAGACTACTCAGACCATAGCAGGCCACTTCATTTAACTTTAATCACCGCCTTAAAGGGCCTTGACCACGTGCAGACCACAGTGGGGAGAGTCAAGGCTTCAGCACATACATTTGAGGATGGGGAGACAAAACATGATTCGTAATACAAGTCTCACACAGAGGAAATTATTCAGTGTTGTTCAAAGCCTATACTGCTAATAATATGGAAAAGGAATAACCTTTCTTACGGGTTCAGTAACTGTGGATGGATGACCCAAACACTGTAAGATATAGATTCACGTCTATGTACTGATCATGCACATTACATACCAAACTCCCCAGAGTTGAACATGCATGTTATACATAGCATGGAACCACACCCTTAGAAGGTTATCGTTAAGATTTCTTCATATCAAGTACATTTAGCTAACAGTGCATTTTAGTTTTAGCAGTCACCCTAAATTGTCCTTAAAATATAAAAACTATACCATAAACATATAGTAAATTTGTATTAAGGTTCTTTAGAGAAACAGAATTTGTAGAATGAATATATATGTGTGTGTGTATGTGCGTGTGTGTTTATATTTATATATATACACACATAATTCTTCTCTGCCACTTCTCTGATCATTATATATTATATATGTGACATATAATAGATATATATTCATAGTATGTAGTGAATATATTATGTATTCATTCTTAAAGTTTTGTTCCTCTAGATATAGAGATACAGATATGTAGATATATAGGAATTTATTAAGATGCCTTACAGACTATGGCCCAACTAGTCCAACAATGACTGCCTACCAATGGAGAGTCCAAGAATTCAGTAGTTGTTCAGTCCAGCCCACAAGGCTGGATGTTTCTATCGGTCTTCAGTATATAACAGAATCCCAAAGAAGTAGGCTCTGATGTCAGTAAAGGAGTGAACTTCTATTGAGGGTGAGAGCAAGCAGGCAAAAAGCTTCCTTCTTCCATGTCCTTAATCTAAGCTGCCAGTAGACTGTATGGCCAAGATTAAAGGTGACTCTTCCTATCTCAAATGATCCATATTAAACATGGGTCTTCCCACTTCAGATGATTTAATTAAGAAAAAGTCCCTCACAGTTGTACCCAGCTGCTTGGGTTTTAGTTGATTCCAGATGTAGTCAGGTTGACAACCAGGAATAGACATCGCAAAGTCCGTGTAAGTAGTAGAGATTTTATTTATTGAATTTTTTTAGGTTAGCATATATGCAATGGGCAGGCACAGGCTCAGCCTGGCCTACTGGGTGAGCTCCAAACCAGTGAGAGGTAGATGGCACTTGAGGGGTGGCACTCGTGGTCAGCCTCTAGCCCTGCATGCGTGCGCGCACACACACACACACACACACACACACACACACACACACACACACACGTCATATGGGAGGAGAAAGGGCATTGCACAGAGGGAAATCAGGAAGAACTTGCAGAAGGTGACATTTGAGGAAAGACCTGGAAGAGGAGGAGTTTGCTGTAGGTGGCAAGGTATTGATTGCCTTCTGCTGCAGAGCGAGCCCTGGTACTGAAGAGGGAGCCAGACAGGATGGCAGTGCCAGGCCTTGAAAAGCCTCTGGGTTTGCTCTTTATGAGGGAAGACATAGGATGATATTCCACAGGGAGAGACGTGGTGGGCTTCCTGTGGACACAGACCGAGTGCCGGAGTGACGTCAGTTTTGAAAAGCTGGCAAAGAAGCAGAGTAGCCGGTGAGGACACGGCCACAGTGACCCAGGGGCCACAGTGACCCGGGGGCGTGTGATGGTGGCTTTGACCAAATGGCAATGGTGAGAGGTAGCTGGTATTCCAGTTTTTAAAATTTGTTTCTTTTATTGAAAATAGAATTTTTCTCACCTAATACATCCTGATTATAGCTTCTCCTGTCTCTGTTCCTCCCAGTTTCTCTCCACCTTCCTTCCCATCTGAATCCAGCCCCTTCTGTCTCTCATTAAAAAGCAGACAGCCTTCTAGGGGATACTAATAAGAGAAAACAAAAACCATCGCATCCGAATCGGACAAAACAAACAGAAGGAAAAGAGCCCAAGAAGAGGCACAAGAAACATGTAGATGCAGGGACCCAATTGTTCGCACACCTGAACTAGAAACTATAAGTTATACATAAAAGATCTGTAGGATAAAAAGAGAGAAGATATATAAATAAAATTTAAAAGAGAACATTAAAAATAATTCTTAAGCCCTGCCATGACATTATGAGACAAGGAACCTCCAAAGATGGCACTGAGCCTGATTTCTGCTGGGCATCTGCTGGGCATCTATGCAGCCTTCCCTGAAGAGTAGTTTATTTCCCCAGTGAGACTGCCTTGGCAAAAACTAATTTTTCATTGGCAAGTAGTTACCAATTGGAGCTCACTTTTGGACTAGGAATGGGGGCATGTGCCTACTTCTTTCTTCATCTCTAGGACCCCATCTGGTGCAGACCAGTATAGGCCCTGTGCATCCTGCCTTTGCCTCTGTGAGGTCGAGTGCACAAAGCTCCTGTTGATTTAGAAGGCCTTGTTTCCTTGGTGTCCTCCATCCCCTCTGCCTTGTACACGCTTTCTGCCTCCTCTTCTCCAGGGTTCCCTGAGACCTAAGGGAAAGGATTTAATGGAGGCATTCCGTTTAGGGCTGAGCTGAGTGTCCAGGGTCTCTCATTCTCTGCATAATGTCTGGTTACGGTATTTGTTCCCATCTGCTACGGAGGAAGCTGTTCTGGTGATGACTGAGCAAGGCACTGAGATTGTAGTGACAATGAGTGTAAACAATGCAGTTATAATTTTTGCTAGTGTAAGGTGAGTCAGGTAAGAAGGGCAAGGAAATGATGTCACTACCATCCAAAACAGGGAGATAGTGAGGCCAGCAGGTCCAAGAGGGTCGCCCACCCTCCTGAACCTTCTCTGCAAGTACCCACTGGCCCAGCCTTTACCCTTCGTAGTAGCCACCAAAAAGGATACACTGCATATGCCTGGCAGCCTTCAGGATGCGGAAACACTAAACTCGGGTGTTCCATATTGTTTATCAAGGCAGCTGCAAGTGACGTCCTTACCTCACACTCTTCCTGGTGGCCAGCAAGGGTGTTTCATTTTTAACTTCCTATTAGTCTGGGAACCAACTGATAACCCTTCCCTCTCCGTAAAGATGCTCTTTCGGTATTTGATCATACCCTTGCTCTCCAAGTGTCCCTTCTTTCCTGGAAGACTAATGGTACTTGTTTCTTGTGTGTGCCTAGGCCACTCCTGCAGACTTCTGAAGAAGAACATGGGGATGATCGTTATAAACGAAGGCTCCCTTGATGTGAGTGACGTTGGGCTTCAATTCCTTCTGTTGTTTTTTTTTTATATCAGATATCTGTGGAAACACTCCCTTGGCATAAGGTTAAAAGATAACTTTGTATACTTATTTCTCTTTGTTTGCTTTAATTGTATGTATAGCTTTGGACAACATTAACGTAAACTGACTCATGCTTTACACGATGTGTGTTAGCTAAAGAAACTTCTGTCTGGTTTCCTTAATGTTATAAGACAGAAAAGCTGCCTCACAAAACCCCTGGGTCGGTGCATATGGCCTGCAGCTCACTTATATGGAATACTGCGTTTTGTGTATTCAGCCTTTTAGATTTCCTTTAGCTTCGAAAGTGAATACCTATTTCTGTTTTAATAGGTATTATTAAAAGGGATACTAGGTTTATTGAAAGGGATACTAAACTAATACAAAATAACCATGTCTGCTACAAAAGGTCTCTTAGTGTTGTGTGTGTGTGTGTGTCTGTGTGTCTGTCTGTGTGTGTGTGTTTTCCTTTTTGATGCTCTAACTACTAGGATAAAATATTTAGTGGACTAATATGTAGGGCAAGTGACCTGTAAATACTTTAAAGTCAAGGTGGTTACTGGTAATGTAAGGTGGAAGACAAAACCGGGAGGTGATGGTTTTACACCTGCTTAAAATACTCATGATGACGCAAAAAGCAGAGGGGAGCATTGATAATTAGGAGCTTGGGTGGAGCTGTGAAGCCACCGTCTGTGTTGCGAGATGGTGAAGAAATCACTGGGGAGAATGCTTAGAAGGTGGCTAAGGGACAGAAATCCTTAGACCTTGATTGCAAATGTTTTAATTGCTTAACTTCAAAGCCTGGTACTTTTCCCTTTTCTTGTGAAGTCTTTGAACAACCTGCAATGGAGTGTGGTTCTGCAGCAGTACCATCATGGCCCTGCATCTGAGCCTCTTTGGGAGTCTTCCCACCTTCTTATGTATTAGCTTTGGATTGCCCCAGCCAAAATACTGTCTTGTGAACAATGACCGAGTCAGTCCTGCCTTTCAAAAGCTGACACATAAGACGTGAAGTAAAGGTCCACAAGACAGACACAGAGGTGAGGAAGACGTCTGCTTGGGGCTTCTGTGACGTGTTAGGATGTATTCATCTTTAAGATGAAGTCTGGTAGAGATGAGTCACTGAGTGAGGAAGACTATTGGAAGCAGAAAGTCCTGGCAGCAAAGATCAAGCCATACTTGGAGAAGGAAAAGGGAACATTGAACTTGAACGTAAGGTTGTAACTTGTTAAAGATTGTTTGTTGGAGTAAGTAGAAGCATGCGGTATGGATTTCCAGTGTCGGGAAACAGTACAGATCATAGACAGTGGACCGTCTATGTTTGCATCTAAATTTTATCTTAACTGTGTGTGACTTTGCCCAGAGAGCAGTTCTGTACCTGATGGATGTTTATCCATTTTCGTACTCTAACTGGGTTTTGGTTTTGGTGGCTGCTGTTGTTTTTCCATTTCTTCATTTATGTAACATGTGTATATACACATGCTATGACATGCATGTGAGGTCAGAGGGAAACTTGCTGGAGTCCGTTCTGCCCCTCCTACTACCTGGATTCCAGAGCTGGAACTCGGGTCAGCAGACTTCCCAGCCAGTGCTCTTACTCACTGAGGCTTCTCACTGGTCCTTACCCCTTACTGTTAAAAAACAAATGGTAAGCTTCTGAGGCCTCGCAGAGGACCCAGGTTTAGTCCTGGCACCCGCATGGTAGTTTACAACCTTCCCTTACTCCAGTTCCAAGGGATCCCATGCCTTACACGGCAACAAAATGCTTAGACGCATAAAAGAGAAAAATCTAGAAACAAATTTTAAAACAATCATACCTCACAGCACACTGCTTTTTGATTTCTGTGCCTTGGTTTATTTGCACTTGCTATATCTTAGCCAGTGTGCGTGTGCCTGAGTGATGCACATGCAAAGCCACTTACTTCTCTGCTGTGACATGGTACCTGCAAGGCACCTAGAAAGAAGTGACAGAGTGAGAACTGGAAAGGTGACCTCCGGCCAACCAGAGCAAACCGGGTCAGGTTAGCGAGCACGGCAGCACAGCACGTGGAGCACCGTCCTCACTGTCACGCATGTGTGGTACCTATGGGAGTGATGAGCTATAGGCATCTTCGGAAGGGCAGGGAGGCATGGATCTCATGGAAAAGATCAAAGCAAGGAGAGGAAGGATGTAGGGCCAGTGCCTCCAAGGGTATGGTGTGGAAGTAGCCCAGAGACTTGAACGATGGTCCCTGGGAAAGGAGCCTCTGAGAATGGCCCCAAACGACGCTCCATGTGCTCACAGCATTATGGAAAGTGCCCTGGGAATGGTCCATCTGCCTACTGGAGTCTGTGCTTTTCCGTCCCCGGGGTCACACTGGAGAACAGTTCCTTTGACAGCAGGAGGATCAGCCTTCTGGACCTGTGGGATTTTAATGCAAAAAAGCAAGCACACTTCATTGCCCGCATCTGGAGCCGGACTTTTCCCTTCCCGAGCATGTGGCGGCGTGCCTGCTTTTATTTTATTAATGCGCCATCATTTTCCCCCGTTTCCTCGGCGAGCTTGGCTTTAAGTGTTTTAGATATCAAGTACTATAAGTGATAGCCTGGAGGGAAACGGCGAAATATCAAAAATATGCGCTATTCAGGGTCCCAGTTCACTTGCTCTTTCAGTGATCAACGCCCTGACCTAAAGTGTCTTGGGTGGAAAGAGTTTATTTGGCTAATAGGTTACAGTCCATCATCAAGGGAAGCCAGGATAGGAACTCAAGCCCAGAATTGGAGGCCCATTGCTTACTAACTCATTCCGCCCGGCCGGCTCAGCTAGCTACCTTTGTTATATAGCAGAGGCCTGTGTGTTTAGGGGTGACACCTGCCCACTATGGACTGGGCCCTCCTACATCAATTAACAATTAAGAAAATGTCCCCATAGACACAGCCACGACCTAATCTGATGTAGGGAACACCTCGGCCAAGAGTCCTTCTTCCCAGGTGTGTCTGTGTTTGTGTCGAGCGGGCAAAACCAACCAGCACGCACACTATATTGTTAAGACAGTGGTGTTTGTTTTCGTTTTTAGATTTCTCGGGTGGTAGCTCAAATTGAGAAGCCCCTCAAAGGTACCTTCACTACCTGTTTTTTTTTTCCAAGAAATAAGAGAAAAAGACTCTGGGAACACGCAGTTTTGCTGCGAGCAAGGACTGCTCTGACTTATCCCTCCCGGTGCCCAACAAATTACGGAACACATAGTAAATACTGGATGGATAGATACCTGAGCGCTGAGTCACCACATCATTTCAAATTAAGGGCTTCCCTTTTAAAAAAAAAAAATGTGCATCAGTTTTCAATTTGAGGTAATTCGTCATATCTGAAGTCTCCTTATGAATGCAAGCAGTTTAGGGTAGGAGCCAGACGCTGTGGCTCAGTGGATTAACACTCATTTGCCTGCACTCCGGCTGCCAGTCTTCCCAGCGATGTCTGGGGAAGGTTTTTCTCCCTGGGAGCTGAGTAGTGAATTTACAAACTGGTTGTCTGAGGTCAGACCTCCTGGGAAGAACTCATTTGTTGCTCACCGGGAGACTGAAGCATTGCTTCACACAGCGCCTTCATAAAATTGGGAGGCTCAGAGTTCAGGCAAATCCTGAGAGCTGCCCGAATGCCTGTAGGTAAAGCATTGTTTGTATTTCCCATTGCAGAGGAAAAGAAAAACAGCCCGGACAGATTATAAAACAGTCTGGGGTGATCAGTTCATGAGCATAAAGAACAAGTAGCAAGTAATAAACCGAGTACCATAACTGCCTCGGGAAGGGAGATAATGGACGGGTGACTTGTCAAGGGCGTTGGACTCGTCCTCTGAAATAGCACAATGATGGCCTTAGACAGTAAAATCCGCTTCTCCGAGCCATAGTCTAGCTATCTATATATAACAAGACTGTAACCTTGGGCAGAGCATTGGTGTGAACGTAGTGTGTGGAACACACAAAGAGATGTTATGAAATGTGGTGGGACAGCACTATTCCAATAGCTTTCTGTTTTGCTTAATCTGCATTTTTATAAAAGTGTATCATTTCCCATCTTTAATATTTTTCATAAGATGGTAAGTCCTAGCTGTAGATCATCGTTCATGAGTGGCCCATATTGCTGTACACAATGCCCAAGTTTTCTAACAAACTAACGTTAAAGTGGAGAAGATAGGTCTCGTGTTACGCTGTTATAAAGAATTGTATTTTGAAGTTCTGAAGACTTGCATAGACAATGTCCCCCTTCCACAGGTGGCACAGCAGCGCATGCCTGTAATCTCAGCATTCAGGAGGCAGAGGCAGGAGGATAACAAGCTTGAGGCTGACCTAAGCTGCGTAGGAAGATGCTATTTCTAAAAAGAAAGGAACGTTTCTTCTGGTGACTCTGATCAAGGGAACATTTGTCTTGCTTCCCTGTTATCTTTTGAGTTTCAATGTCTTTAACCTTCTGAACACCAGAGAAAAGAGACACACAGAGAGAAAACCTTCGAATAAATGCATACAAGCAGGTGAAGAATACTACTCATATCTCATTCCCCTCTTCTTTGGGGTCCCACCACATGGCAAAGTAAGATACTCTCGCTGACAATGTAGATGTCTTAGGCAGAAAGACTTGTTGAACTTTTTAAATTCAAAAATAAGAATTTCGGTGTGTGTAAAAACCTCAGTGGGTAATACGCTTGCTACGCACATATATGGACCTGTGTTTAAATCTCCAAAGTCTACCTAAAAACCATCAGGGTGGCACATGTCTTTAACCCTAAAGGGAAAAAAAATCCAGCTTCAGGGGGCTTTCTGGCCAGCTAGCCTAGCTGAGATGGCAGGACCTAGATTCAGTGAGAGACCCTGTCTCAAGAAATAAGATGGAGAGAAATAGAAAAGGCCATCCAAACAATGTCCTCCCGCTTACACACACACACACACACACACACACACAGAGGGGGGGGGGGAGGAAAGAGAGAAAGAGAAAA